CTGAAGGTAATCCTCATCAAGCACGTCGATGATGTGATGTGCGCCCAAGCTCACGAACCTGAAGCAGATGCTGTGGTCGAGGAAGTGCGCAAGAAGTTTGACTTCGGCAAGTGGAAGAAATTGTCGGAGAAGAACCCCATCACCTACTGCGGATGCCAGATCAGCATTCTACACGGTGAGATCAACCTGGATGCGGAGGAGTACCTCAAGCAGGTCAAGCCGATCACTGTGGACAAGAACGGAACCGGCGACATGACGGACAGTTTCGAAGTGCCGTGGTCTACTTCGAGCACTTCAATGGCCAGCAGGACAGGTGTCCCCACACCTTTGTGCTACCACGAGCATCCTGGCGGGTGAGGTTGCAGCAAGGGCAAGGACGGCAAGCACGGAGCTCAACAAGGGGCTGAGGTTTGCCAAGGCGACAGCTGGGGTGCATCTGAAGTTCTCAAGCAGGGTGAAGAACCTGGACGAGCTGTGCTTTGTGGCGTTTTCGTCGGGACTTCAGCTCGCAAGGTGGCTACATCCTGATGGCGGCAAACAAGAAGTTGCTGGAGGGTGAGTGCATGCGGTACACAACCCTGGCATGGAGGTCATTCAAGCTGGACAGGGTGTGCCGGAGTTCGCTTTCCGCAGAAAGCCAAGCATGTGCGACGGCAACGGACGAGCTGATGATCACCAAGCTCTTCTACTCCCTCATGCTCGATCCTGACCAAGATCTGAGATCTGGCGAGACGGTGAAGAAGGCGGGTCAGAGTGCGGTGGTGATTGATGCTCGGGCGTTACACGACGCGACCAAGAGGGACACGATCAAGAACGCTGTTGTGGACAAGCGGGCGGCTGTGGAAATCCTGTACATTAAGGAGGCGCTTGAGTTCACCGGCAGCGAGATCAGGTGGGTGAGCTCAGAGAGACAGCTGGCGCATGGGCTGACAAAGCTGTCAGCAAGGCAGTCACTGGCCGATGCGCTGGGCGGTGGCTACATTCAACTGGTCTTTGACGAGACCTTCACAGCGGCGAAGAAGAAGACCAAGGAAAGTCAGCGGAGGACGATGATGACTTCGACTGGCTCATCATCTACGGTGGCATCATGGCGGTGGTTGTGATGAGTGTGTTTGTCACCATTTTGGTGATGAAGCTCGTCAAGGCAGAGAAGAAGAGCGCGCGAGAAATGGAGACGCAGACCGAACGATGGGAGCTGGAGAATGTGAAGAGTGAGAATGTCTTCCTGAAAGGAGATGCCAGACCCTGGAAAGGCAGGGAGTCGTCACGCGGGCACCTCGCCAAATCGTGATCACGCCGACCGGAGAGAAATTCCACCGGTCGGGATGCGGGCATGTAAAGCAGCGAAGCCGAATCCTGGACGCGTGCAGAGACTGCATCGGCGGCTAGGTTTTCTATCCTTTTGGGCGTGTGAAGTTTCCTCCAGAAACCTTTGTGGATAAACCACCCTTGCGTGCATACAGGGGTGGGCCTCGAGATCAAAACAGCCGCGCCCCTCATTTCGTTCGCACTTGTCGGTGCGGTGGCATGGTCTGGAAACCTCGTGCGTTCTGGACTTCCTGAAGGATCCCATTTTGGGGTAGGTGAATTCACCACCCGCTCAAGAACCTATTTTAGTGGGAATTGGGATGTTCACTGGGGTGCGGGATGTTGACCCATGGCCATATAAGGTGGGTGGCGTTCCTTTCCCTTTTGGTTTTTCCCCTTACACTGACCAATCAATAGGTACGCTCAAAGCCAAGTGGAAACCGAAAGGGGATGCTGTATATTTTTTCCAGCCTCAGAATAAACATTTCCTGGAAGCATGGTTTACTCCAGGGCTGCCCTGACTGGCGACTGCTGACTTGTTGTTTCTCGCACACAGAAACACATGGTTTCAGCTACCAAGATCAACATTGCAATTGGGAGCGCTCTCAGATTGTGCAAAAAAATGTGACTTTTGCGATGGCATCCGCCACATGTTGTTTTTCTTTGGGCCCACGCAGTTGGGATGGATGCAAGATATGAATACGGAATAAAATAGCGGGATTTTGTCCATTCACATGTTATGTTGGTGGCACCCGTTTGGTTTCTCTTTGAAACCACCGCAAGAAGGACAACGGCCTCAAAGACACGCCCATTGCTCCCCAAACTCTGCGGGCTAAGTTGGCAATGCTCTTGGCCCCCGCATTATGGTGTGTCTTTGTTTGAGGGAACATGTTTTTCTTTTTTCGTTGCTCCAAGGGATGCCAAAGGGCTTCTGAGCGCATTTGCCAGACATGTGCACAGGGTTCCCAAATAACCCACCATGTGGCCCGCGCGAAAAGTATTGGTTATTGAGTTAGACTTTGTTTGATTGTAACAAACACACCTGTTTTGATTCTCTAGGGGCCTTTGATTGAGGGAGACAATTACTAGTTGGCTATGCTGTTGGTGAAGGCATCGCAGAGCAAACTGAAACAAACTGGTATACACCATTCCGAATGTGAGATCCATACAGGAGGGCTGGAAGACGTGTGACGCCGCGTGGTTGCCCTGGGCGCGCTACCACTCCCACCTCTATTCGGATGCGGATCTTTGTAAAGAAGATCCTGAAATCAGCGAATGGTGTGAGACCATCAGCGGCTTTGAGCGCCGCTGCGAAAATAGTTCAGCCTCGGCTGCGCTTGGCTTTGCCGAAGACATGGGCCTGCAATGCACAAACGCTACGGAGCTTCAGTTGCTCTCGGACCTTGTGGATTCCGATTCGTGGGGCCACTACTGTGAAGCTAACAATGGGACAAAGGTCAATTGCAGCAAGGACCTTTGGAGCCACTTAGACCCCCATCTAGTTGTTTTGGGTTGAAGGAACAATTCGCCTCGACCAGCTCTGTGAATGGTGGCCATCAAACCTGAGGTTTGGGTTCCTTAGCTGCACTTTGAGCTCCAACTACTGACTAGCAGAAGGTGTTTTTTTGGAGGGTAGCGAATGGTTTTGTTTATTTTGTGGGGCGAAGACCATCCAGGTACGATTGCGAGAAATTCTTCAGTGATGCCGACTGCCAGAAGGCCCCTGCAATCCCAGAGACCAAGTGGGACGCTTTTGTGCTGGAGCACTGCTCTGTGGAACGCTGTGCAGCCTCATTGCCCCAATGGATGCAAGTTATGGATGAGAAGGAAAGAATTGGATATTGCGCATGCGAGTCATGCGTGCAATGGTTCAGAAAGGGTGAGTGTACTTTGGAGTGGTTCGACCAGGCGACTCGCAGGATCAGTGGGTCTCAACAGATGTACACAATGGAGCAATGGCAAGAATACTTTTCAGATCCTCGGTTTGTCATTCAATTCGGCCTAGTGGCTACGTGCGTTTTTGGTCCTATGCTGTGGTTATTGACCTCCACGATTTTCTTATGCTGCTTTGGGAATCCTTGGTCAGTACCTTTGGATGCGGAGCTGCAAGACAAGATTAAGTTGGAAGAGGTTGCGCTTCAGGAGGAGCTTGTCAAAACTGGACGGATTGAAGACTGGTGCTCGAGCCTGAATCGTCTCGCCATTTTGTCGGAGGTGGGCTTTTGCGTGGCTGACTTCGTCACGGATATTCAAATGCTCTTCCTGTACTACCGCACTTACCACTATGGCTTCGTAGTCCTGCAAGCTCTTATGATACTGCGAAGCTTCTTGGAGCAGACTCTCCGCGGTCATCTTCTTCGGCTCTTTGTGGAAGCCAAGGACTCCCTGAGAGCGAATCTCCGCACAGATAAGCTTCTGTCTATAGCGCAAGCTGAAAAGACGGGAGAAGCGACCTTGTCATTTCTTCTGCAGATTTATGGATTCTTTTACATGAGTGAAGAACTGACGAGCTATGTTACAGCTGCAATCTCCTTACTGATAAGTGCTCGAGGTCTTACCCAAGGCTGTTACATTCATTTTGATCTTGCCTTCATCTCCTCTGAGCAGATCGCGCCGATTGACATCGGGAATCCACCAGTTTCAAGCTATTCGATTCTGCCAGGCTTCGCTGCTGCCGAAAGCGCCTCGTTCAGCTCGCTTCAAGTGCCAGAGCCTCCCGTCGAAGCGCCAGCACCTCTAGACCTTCCAGGAGACGGGGGTAATGAAGGTGTACCGAACCCCTCTGGGCATGAATTTAATCCGGCATCGGTTTAAGTTGGGATTTATGTCCACCAACCACTTCGCAATTCATATAGTTCTTCTGCGCCCTAATGGATTTTGTAGGGTGTCTGAAAACGTCCGCTTCCCAGGAGAAGTTCAGAGCGATTCGCTGGACCAGAACTGCGCACCTGACACCCCTGATCCGAATGAGCCAATTCCCAAAGTTCTTGGAAAGGGCCGTCTTTCACCTCTCCGGTCAGACCCCGTCGAAGTGACGCCTTTGAGCTTAGCCGGAAAGACCAAGGAGTCCGAAGAGCCGGGCAATTTGCAACCAGCTCCGGATCCGAATGAGCCACCGGTACTTGGCAAGGGTCAGAACATCACAATCGGACTCTAGCAGTTGTACCCTATATATGATTTTCCCAGCTGACGTTCGACAGCTGCTTGGGCGCCAAATCCAGCGCTTCACTGGCACCGAATTGTTTGTATTTTCGCATATCTCAACCTTCAGAGGTTTGGGTGTCTCACCAGGCAGAGAAGTGACCATCTTCCAGAGTGGATGGCCCAACAAAAGTCCAAACCTTCCATTTACCACTAAAATGGTCCTTCCAAAAAATGTAAAGTCCAGGAACTCAGGAACTGAAAACCACTTATTGGGTCCCTTCAAGCGGTGAAAATTTGGCGTGTCTTTTTCGAGGGTATTGTGTTGTGGTTTTAACGGGAAGCCAAAAGAGAAACTGAAGCCATGTTGTGGGTTACCTAAAAAAAGACATATATATATATATATATACACATATTTGTTTTTTTTTGTTTCCCCCCTTTTGGGTGTTTCAGTCAAGATTTCGGCATGTTGACTTTTTTTTGTGCGTCCCGGCCCTTTGGGCGAAGGGGTGAGGGCCACTTTGGGTTGGGATCGCCGCCAGCCTTGCCAG